CCCCCCCCCCCCCCCCCCCCAAAAAAAAAAATCAATGCATTCCTGATAATAACTGTGATTGATCACCTGGCTAAAGTTGATTTACATATTGTAGTGAAATTAATTGAAACAATGGCAACCTGGAAGATAGGGGAAAAAATGATGCACTTAACAAAGTGTTCAGCAGTGATGTTGAGTGTGTAGTGTTAATACTAAACAGGATAAAACACACAAATGCAGAGGGAATTATAAGGAGCTTTGGGGTTTTCCACAACAGACAGTCTTTGGAATAGCCAACCAATAAAAGTCTGACGAAGTAGCAAGTAAATATCGTTTTACATCATTATACATTTAAAGGTTTACCACATAGTTGTTTTGCAGACACACATCAAAAGATGTGTGGAGGTTTTACGACACTGTCTCCACTTCTTGTAGGGTTTATCTGCTTTTTTAATAGAAAAATGTCGAAAAAGAGTGTGTTTGCAGAGATATTATCTTTAAAATTCAAATATGTAAGTGTATGTGAATGCACTTGTTATTAGTCTCAAGGGGAAACAGCTAGTCTGACTTCAAGTGCCTACTTTTATAAATTTGTAAACGGAAATATAAAAATCTCAGTTTGTAGTTTTGGGGGAAGTTAACATTCTGGAACTATTTCTTGATAAACAACAATGTATACATCCACCCAGCCCTTCTGTGTTCATTCTACAGCGCTGTCTATCAGATACGGTCAGTGAACACAGATTTTGGTTTCTGCACAGACACAATGGTACTAAACCTGGCAACATCACTGCGATGACGAGTACTCAAGAAGCTGAACATAATCACAGCGCCAACTGTTATTTGTCAAAGTTCCATCACTTGACTCACTGTTTCAGTGTCAAAGGCAAAATAATGCAGCCAATAACAAGCTGGAATTAACAGACGTGTTGCTATTAAAATAGCTAATATTGATGGAAAAAAGAAAAGCATCAATACAAAAGGGGATCCCAAACTTTTGTATGATGTATAATATAATAACCTCTCCATCGTGAGAGCTGCCCCCTCTTAGTCAATTAGTCAACTTATCGTCGTTTTGGTCCTAGTCGACAAAGATCTCTTGAGTCGATTAGTTATTCTGTGTGCTTTTTTTCATACTGAATGACTTATTTCCAAGAAATGTACTTCTCTGGTTAACACCAGATTTAAAGTGGTGCTTTTGTGTGATTCTTTGTGAAGAAACTCATTTGTACAGATCTGTCGATTTAAATCAATGAATTGATTAGTCAAGTGTTAGTTGACTTCGAATTTCTTTATTCGAGGACAGCCCCTCAAAGCAACAGAAGGCTGCTCTTGGTTGTAGAAGGTCTAATCTAATCCTCTGCAGGGTGTGCACTTGTTCATCAGACCACAATCTGCAGAAAGAGGAGATCCAGACCTGCTGGCCATTCTGGCTAAAAGACCCCTTATTTTCTTACCACTGACTTGACACAAAGACCATTCATGGCATGGTATGTCAGGCATGAAGGCATTAGCTCATGTCAGTCAGCGCTATACATGACAGTCAGAGGGCTGCAGTCAGATTATTTACCAACAGCCGTGACCGTTTAATGGTAAATGGACTGAAATAAATATTTATTTAATCCGTTATTTACGTCTTAATATAGCAAATGTCAAGCAAAAGGAGTAAACCTAAAATAAGTATACTGTACACTGGATGGAAGGGTATCACTAGTGTTAAATCTAGGCCTAAAATATTGGAAATTAACATTAATCTTCAGACCAGGTATCGTTTAATCAGATGTCTCATTCTGCTTCACCTAAGGTTAACTTCTAATGAGCAGGTCCACTTTGAAGTTGCGAGATAGAAGAACATGGTAGCACCGGACTGACACTTCCCTGACAGAAGTGCATGTCATCGCGCTATCCTCCCCCCTTCTTGGGTCTTGCTCGATGTTTCTATAATTACCCTTGTTCTGAACGCCTCCCAGAGGGGTCACGTGACATGTAACTGACAGCTTTAGATGCTCAGATCAGGACAAATTCATCAAACATCTCAAAACCAAGTGGACACTTGACTGAAAAGTCAAGCATTGACTGTTTCTACACTTTGTTTTTTAGCATGACCCGAGCGATTCGGCCCCTTTAATGGCTCCTTGTTTCTGGCATGGAGGAGGTATTCCAGCTGGAAATAAATCCCCCCTCTTACTGTTTCACTTTGGTGTCACGAATTCTGCCACTGGAGGTCCTTGACAAGCGGCCGGACATTCTCCCATCACCTCCCACCCCCTCTACGCCAGGAACGTGTCATCTAAGCCTACGGAAATGTTGCGTTCATTCTGCAGGATTTATTTCAGCTCAGCAAAACCGAGGCAGTGAAAGGTTGGGATTGTCTAAGAAGCCAGTTAAGTTTCTTAATGTCACAGTATGCCATTTGAATTCTATTATAAGTGTTGTTGTACAACACATAATTGAACACACAAACAATATTTACCGTGCTCTGTTGTGGTACTGGATACAGAAGGGTCACAGTTTCACAGAAATATTAACTTTTTGCTCATTGATAACCCACAAAGCATGCGAATGCCCAACATTGGAAATAAATCAACCAACTTGTTATTTTATATCATGTAACAGCTGAGCAGAGTGTAAGCATCATGTCCTTATTTATAGTCTTCTGGTAATCAAATCATTCTACATTTCCTTTGAGATTGTGGACAGAGTTCCTCTCCATACACGGCAGTCTAATGTCATGACATGTGTTGGAAGTAATTCCTTACTACTTGCCATAAATTCAAGTCAAATCTAAGCTTTAATACACTTTTTAAATTTGGTAATCATCCACCATTCCATGCATTTGATGTTAATTTTCCTAAACCATCAATGAGGGACCGGCTTCAAAACTTATACAGCAACCACGGTACTTTTCTTTTTTTTCTTCCAGACTAACCTTTACCCTTTTCATCTTAATTTCCCATATTCAAAAGATTGAGTCATCAATCCTGAGGATAACTTGATGCAGCGTTGGATGCAATTTTTCAACTCAGTTTTTTCAGTCCAGGGTGAATTCATGTCTGTTAGCGTGACAGCCACTTACTATGCAATTACACCACCTGTCGCCATCTTGGTTTTTGACTGTCACCACTTTGGTTTTTGACTGTCACCATCTTGGCTTTTTGCAACCAGAAGTGACATGAGAGGGGGGAGCTTAGTGTACCTGACTTCTGTAGCCCACTGCTCATCTCTGCTGCTGGATCGGGGTACATTAGCATCAAACTATATCAAAATTAACGAGTAAACTGTAGGCAGTGTTTGTATTGTTGGTAATGTAGGTGCCAGAAGTCTTGTTGTTGCTGACCTCCAATGGTTTGGCTTCTCATATTACTCCAGTGATGTACAGGTGTACTCTAGGACACCGTGACATCACTGCTGGGTGTGGTCAGCGGTACAAGCTTGAAACTTAAACCCTCCTTAAAGAATAACTTAACACCACATCATCCAACAAGAAATAAACCGTATTAAGAATCTGTATGTAAAGCTGTTCTCTTTATGTGTGTCCATGTGCCCTAACAGTGAAGCTGTTTCCAGTCACCTGTGAGTTCATTAAAGGAGAGAAACAGTTTTACTACAGAGCTCAACAGTTCTATGAGGACGTCCCAGCCTCGGAGGAAGGCATGCTGGGAGATTTTCTGGAGATATGCAACGTTGATCTGGAGGGTTCCCGGCAGTTTCTGAAGGGGTTTGTGGTGAGTCACGTGATACCAACTCATATTCAGGTTCAGATCAAAGGTTCAATCAGGTCTGGAATACCTGTTGACATACTTGATACTGTTACATTTGAGAAGCAGTTTGTCTATTATTTACACACTTTACTGTGGCTTCTGAGTACAGTCCACCCGTATATCGATTTACACTGGTATACTGTAGCTATCCCTGGATAGACAGTACATGTCAGAATCTAATTCGTCTTTCTGACTGCATAAAAAGAATACCACCTTGTTTCATGTTGAAGGAGGCTTCAGTGCAGTTTCTAATAGTAGCTCAGACTTAATGTCACCTGTAAACACCTGTACTGAACAAGCTGAGCCAACAGCTGCCAATCAGTTTGTACGATGGTCAGTTTTTACTAGCGCTAATTTGTTCACAGTAGAGAAGGATGAGATATTTATTAGTATTTTCCTGTTGAGAAATATCTAGAATTTTATAAACTGCAATGTGGTGTAAGATTGACCTAAGGGTCATTTAAAAAAATAGGCCTATTCGCTCTCTTGCCGAATGTTACATGGGGAGATTGATAAGTATGAAGCTAACGGCAGCAGACAGCTAAGTTAGCTTAGCATAAAGATTGGGAAATGGCTAGCCTGGCTTTGTTCAAAGGTAACAAAATCTGCCTTCAAGCACCTCTAAAGGTCACTAGTTTTAACGTGTTATATCTTGTTTTTTTAATTTGCCAAAGAAATACGTACACACAACAGTTTGCTGTTTTATAGGTTGTTCTGGACTTGTCTTTGATCCAAACCAGGCGGGAACCTCCAGGCCGGAAAAGTGAAGCCAATGCAGAAGTGTCTTGAACTTACATTCTTACTGCTGGCCATCAGGAGGCGACTCCTCTGGTTGCAAAAGAAGTCAGATTGTGTAGAAGTCTATGAGAAAATGACCTTACTTCTCACTTGACTCAGTAAACATTGTAAACATGAGTTTATGGTCTAAATCGGTAGTTTAGAGTCTATTTCAAAACAACATGATGTTCATTTAGTAAATTATGATCAATTTAGAGTAAAATAGACGACAAAGTAGGGTTTGCTTTAGGGTGAGCTACCTTGTGATTGACAGGTCATTACTGCTACCAAAGCTATACACGGCATCTCTACGTCACTTCCGTTCACTGGTTGCACTTCTTATTTACAGTCTATGGTCCAAACTAGTACCTACCTGGGGTGTCTGCTGGTTGCCTGACATATGGTCTTGGAATAAATACTCTGACATAACCCCCCGGGAAACAGTGGATTTGTTGTTTTGGGTTTTTCTTTGGATTAAGCAAATAAGACCCAATGTGTTAATTACTGTGCTATAGAGGTGCTGGTAGGTTGATTTTGTTACTTTTGGACAGAGCTAGGTTAGCTGACAATATGCTTATATCCCAAAATGTCCCTTTAAAATATGTCATAATTTTCTACATTTTACCAGTCTTATTCTCATATATTTCAACATCTTTGTATGTGTGCACACATGCATCTTTGCATGTTCATGTGAATGAATGTCAGAGTGGACTAGAGGGTTTTTTTAGATGTTGGAAGAGCCCAAGTGTAAATTCAGGGGAATGGGTTTGGCCCAGAGACGGGGTTATTTAGAGGATCCGTTTTACAGGAGCTCTAATTATAAAGTGCTAAGATTGGATGTGTTTAAAGGAACTACAAATAGCTAAATGGATACTTTTGCACTAGTGCTGATGTCAACAGAGCAAGCTTTCTACTACTAGTTCATACAATACAATATAATAATGAATATATTTAATGTCAGTTTTCTATTCTCAGTTCTGTCTGTCATGAGATGATCGATTGCAAGGTATGCTTTATTACTGCACATTGTATATCAGTTCCCTGAGCTATTATTGCAGACAACACGATGTGAGCAAATTCTAATATTTGAGAATTCTGAATCAGAAAATGTTAATGGAGCTAAACTGCAACTGGATAAAATAAAATGATTACAAATCAAAGATCTTCTTAAAAGGAACTTGAAACCAGTAAAAAAAACTTTCTTATCACTCAGGGCCCAATATAGGACTTAAAAATGTTGAAAAATCATCCTCACATTGACTAAACAATTCTTTATTTATGGAAGGGAATAATCAAATGTACTGCTAGCATTAAGTACAGTATTTTATGATGCTATAAGCCAAGACAACAAATTCACAGAAATACAAATCATATGATTGTTTCATCCTCTCTAAAAGAAAACGTCTTCATGTTCTCTTCTCCGCTCCGTTTATACAGTCATGTAAGAAGCTGTGAGCGGTGACAGTGGTTGTCTCACGTGATCTGAGCAGAGATGTGATTGGATCATTTATGGTTTGTTTAATGGTTGTCAGCCCTGAGATAGTCTGGCCAGGGCGGCTCCAGCCCCCCCCCCCCACGACCCTGAACAGGATAAGTGGTGAAAGATAATGGATGGATGGACATTGAACAAAGGGCTAAATTGTTTTTAAAATTCATACAAATATCATAACTATCATACACCTGGCAACATGGCTGCTGTAACAGCATATCATCCCGGTGATCCTTTGAAATGTTGCTCAGCATTACATAATCGAGTTCAAAACATCTTGTACTTGTGTGCTGCATGTCTCTTTAGAGATGAACTGCATTTAGTGCTCCGGAAATTGTTTCTTTCTGAGTTAAAGTCGGCGATATTTGCTTCAATTTGTTTGTGTCCAGAAATTCACATTCAATTCACTTCAATGCAAAGAGCCTGAATGTTAGGATTCTCTCTCTTCTACAAACGTGTGCTCAGTTACACATCCTGCTCCCCTGGCTGTGAACAGCTCCTTTTGAAACCGGACATTTCCATTAAAACAAGTTGGGGAAGGAAAAGATTTAGAACACATCTAGATTAACCTGAGCTACATACGCACGGAGCAATATGGCAGTAATTCACCAAAACCAGGAAGCCTCCTGTAACAAGCACTGAGCTCCTCGGGGCCCCATCTTTCATTCAATCACACACTGGGGCCCCTGATGCGGAGGGGTTGGAGTGAGGTCAGAATACCAAATGAAAAGGAAGAAAAACCAGCATGATTCAAGTGAGGTACCTTTCTGTTCCCTCGTGGTAAAGTTCATAGTTCCGTTGCCCTGAGGAACTGAGGTCGAATTGTTTCGGCTGTCGGTGCTTTTGAGCTACAGAGGCCTGACATCTGGCAACACAGCAAATTAAGTATAGATCCCTGACTTATAGATATTGTAATAACATGCTGCATTTAAATGTACATTTTGTTTTCTCTGAAACATAAATCCAGCTCCATTGTTTTTATGGTTGCCTTACAAACGATCTTCAGTTGAGGATCTTTACTGATTTTATCCTCTCGATACACCTCTAAATAAGGTTGACTTTTGCTACAACTATGAATGTTTTATCCACTTTTTCTCCACCCACAGGGTCCCGGTAAGGCTGGCACGCACTGTGCCCTGGACTGTGGCTCCGGGATCGGCCGTGTGTCCAAAGGCGTCCTCCTTCCTGTGTTTGAGAAAATGGAGTTGGTGGACATGATGGAGCACTTCCTGCTCCACGCGCACGAGGAGTACCTCGGAGACGACGCCGATCGCATCGAGACCTACTACTGCTTCAACCTGCAAGAGTTCACACCTCCAAAAAAGAAGTACGACGTCATCTGGATGCAGTGGGTGGCATGTAAGTATGAGAGGGATCTTAGTCTAAAGTCTCTTTATTACTTGCTACTTAACGAGCACACTTCCCATTGGCATTGGACGTGAATTGCTGCAAAATCCTCAAATGTGAACATAATTCCAAGGGATACTGAGCTTCTTTCTTTTTTAGGCGAGACTAGCATTGTTTTCTAATTTCCTCTCATGAGATTTAAGTTGCTTCACCAAACGAAATGAATCGTCAAGTCCATCAGGATCTTGCCAGTGAGGGTAAGATGGAGTTTAAGATCAACAGGGAGACTGGTGCAGCATCAGATGTGATGTGGGCGTCATACTAGCCTGTCGTGATGAAGAAGGAGCTGAGTGTGAAGGCAAAGCTCAAAAGTTACCAGTTGATCTACGTTTCAACCCTCACATCTGTTCTAGAGCTTCAGATAGTGTCAGAAAAACTAAGGATTAATATAACAATGTGTAAAAACAGGCAAAATAAGTTTAATTAGTAAGGTGTCTGAACTCAAGATGAGGATGAACAACCCCTGTAACTGCAGCAGGGAACCACCTGGACGCCTCCCTGTGGAAGTACTGAGCATCAGGCCTGGAAACTCGTCAAGGAGGAGCTGGAGACAGTACCTGTGTTGACCACCAGACTACAGTTGGTCAATTGATGCATGAAGCAGTGTAACTTGTCATTGACTCAAGCTACCTGGGCAGGTTTTGGCGTAGACCTGTAAGAAAACTTATGGAAACAAAGATCCCAGCAGGGACAGGTACCTCTGTTGTGATCTGTTGTTGTTGTTTTTCGCTTCACTCCCTATCCATCTTTCTCTTCAGGCCATCTAACAGACAAGGACCTGATGAACTTCCTAGTGCGCTGTAAGAAGAGCCTGCGTCCAAACGGCGTCATCATAATGAAGGACAATATGGCGCGGCAGGGCTGCAAGCTGGATCCCATCGACAGCAGCATCAGCCGCCACCTGGACATCATGAAGTGCATCATCGCCAAGGCCGGCCTGGAGGTCCTGGCTGTGGAGAGACAGGAAGGCTTCCCTGAGATCATGATGCCCGTCTGGATGATTGCGATGAAATAGAAGTGACATTATTACTTTTGAAAGATTGTCGTTGCTCCATTTGACAAAAACTAAGAGCAAATTCCAACCTAAAGCTGAATTCATGTGTTATTCCTCTTTTGTCAAAGTCTAAATTAGTGATCAAGTCTCTTAAAAAAAATGACAACAATACAGCAAGTAATCTTCAAGATGTCTTCAGGAGATAAATAGTGGAACAGCAGTGTGGACGGCCTGATGACACCCGGGGTGATTTTATGGAGACAGGATTTATTTTTTCCGCTCTGCCCCAGAAATGAATGAATGCTTTTACGTGGACATTAACCTTCTTCAGAAGCACTCTATATGTCCACAAAGCCAGTCTGTAATTTATTGTCAGCCGACCACCTCCAGGGTTTGTGTCTTGATGACATCAAAGATCGACCCTCATCTCTCTGGAGTGTAATCGAGGGAGAAGCTTGTTCCCGTCTCAACCACGACGATCATTGGAATAACATGTGGATTCAGATGGTTTCTCCCTTGAGTGAATGATTTGTTTCCGTTTTAGACTAAATTTCACAGCACAAGTACAACCTACTTTATCATCAGCAATAAAATATCATGTTGAATTTATGTTAAATATTTAAATATCAATATTTTAGAACATGCGATCTGTATCTGGAGACATTATGTGGATAATGGCGTCTGATCACAGGCTTTTGAATTAACTCTTGGTATTTATAAGCGTTCTTGATTCTGCTCACATTGTGACCCAGATCTCAATCTGCTAGTTAAGCAGGAGCAGTTGGACCCGTCAACAAATATGCAACATGCATCCCAGGTCAAAGGTGCAAGACGGAAGACCCTCAAGAGAGAGAGAGCCACGACCTGCAAAGCAAGGATCGCATGACAGACGGAGACAAGACATCCGTAGGCTACAGTACATATCAGTAGCCTTGATAACTTGGCTAATCTTACTGAATCGTCTCAGACCGCAGAATGCTGAGCAGCACATAATATGACAAAAGCAGCTAACTACGGATGCTACATCAGAATGTTAATAATCACAATATTAAAGGGAAACCACGGATTTAAAAAACAAAAGTCTGTTTCCAGGTGTTAGGAATTTCTACTTCAAATGGAAAAAAGTCACTGTTCAAAGTTGAGTCAAGGTAAATGTCGTCTGCTAAATCTGATGCGTTTTGAGGTAATTCAATTAAATTGAGGTAGCGAGCAATGCTACGGTTTGTGCGGCTGCCTGAGAGACCGCAAAGTTGAACTTCCACTTTTGGTGTGAAAGCCACCTGTAATAATCAGGGCCAGTGGAGAAGCTTACTAGCATTAGTGTTGGCTCAGCTACCCCCCTCCGTCATGTGACCCTTGTCTTGCAGGTCATTGCAGACCCTTGAGAGTCTCCTGAAGTAATACTGCTTTATGGATGGTTTGTTTCCACATTGTGCAGCTCCCGCTGTTCTCGTAGGTAGACTCTGTGACATTTTTATAAATCTAAAACCTTCATGGATTATAAATTCATCATACAAAGAGTAATCATTTACCTTGCTTGCAGTTTGAGTCAGTCTCCTGTCAACAGTTATGAAATGGTGGTCTATGGGATTAATGGTTTTTGGACCGCAAGCAGGGCCGTATCCAGCTCTCCTAATACATCCATGGTGTACGGGCTCATGAAGAGCTTGTCTATAGTTTCTTGAATCACAGCTGGAGTAGGAGTAGGGGTGACCTTACAACATGTTGGGCAGATTTTGTTTCTTAAGAATATTGCCATAGTTAGCATTTACACTAGAACGCCTCCCGATAGGGTCTAATCCAATATTCCAATTGGGATGCATGCATCTGCATTAACCTCGTCTTTTCCTGATCCAGGTAAAATATCCAGACACAGATCACTCGTTGGTACCAGGCGGAGATGAGGTCTAAATTATTAGGTCATCTTTCAGTACAGAATGTAGTTCCTCGTCACTTTATATTGCAGGATAAATAATGCCTGGTGCACTTAGTACAGGTTGGTCAGGTGTAAATATTACATTTGTTTTTATGTAAGTATGTCTTTTATACTTTTGCTTGTAATATTGCAGATTCATGGTACTTTATTTTTTATTGATTTCTTTTGTGCAATTCTTTCTGTATAGTGCAGAAATTTGGACTACGTTGCCTTTATTGTAGTGCATCTTACTGTATGTTTGCTTTAATTAAGCTGAAGACATTTAGCTGCATTGTTTTTCAAAAAATAAATGTGCCAAACTCAGAAAGCATATGGATGTAGTTTTATGATTTTTGAATGCTCTTTTCATATGTAATGTTTTTCATCCCATGTTCCAAACACAAGCTAATAGGATTAGTGATGGGTAATCACTGCTGACTATTATAATCAAGGCTGGAACATAAAGGCTGACCGATTGTCCCTAAATATTACAGTGCGGCCCGTCCACACCCCTGACAATGACCGCGCTGCATTCTAACAGAGTGGGCTGAAAACACACCAGATAATTGAGATCATCTCAGATTGTTAAGGTAATTCTTCTAAGTATTGTTACTATTATTTTTTTTCAGAGTAACAGTAGAAACAGCACATTGTTTTGGGCTAATGACTTTCAGCTGGGCCCCTTGAGGCAGATTTGCGGG